ATAAAAAAAAAAAACAAAAAAAAAAAAAAAAATTAAAAAAAAAAAAAAAATCGAGTCAGTTTGGCTGTACGACGTTACTGCTTCATAGGGTTTCTTTGTTGCTGCACTGCTTCTAGTCCACAGGGGTCCGATTTCAAACCCTAATTTCACAATATAATCACAGCCCAAAATACATTAACCTTATTAAACAACTGCCTATATATACTAAACTAAGGCCTGAACTATAAAACATTGACCCAACTCAGCCCATTACAAAACCCACACACCATACCCATTCACATTATCAAAGCCTAACTCAACCCATTTACTTCCAGCCCAAATAGATGCCGGCAACTCAAGTCCTCTTACAAAAATTCCGCTCATCCACGTCGACGACCGATTCGTCGCGATTTTCGCAGACGTCGACGGCTCCTGTCGCTTTTAACGCCGGCAGTCGGCCACCCCGAAACCTCTATATCCAGAAAATTCAATTTCTCCTAACTTTTATTCCCGACATTCATTACCAGTAGTCTAAACGTCTTCCATCCTGAACCCACCTCCTGCTGCTTTTAGCCGGACGAAAACATTCGTCGTTGGCTCATGGCTGCCACTCCATTTGCTTCTATCATCGCCACAATACCCACCGCCAATTGTTTAGCTGCCTACCAGTCGCCGTCGTATCTATTCTACTACCTTCCAGTCATCGCCGCCTCAATCCGTCACCGTTCCTACCACTACGTCAAGCCCAACTTCTTCTACACTTGCAATTTCATTTCCCCATTCTTCAATCTCTATTGCTTCTGCCCCTGGAATTTCTTTCTTTTCGGCATCCACTATGGGCTCTGACTCTGGCTCTACTTCAAGGCCAGTATTTCATTTCCTATATCTTCCAACTCTGCGTCATCTTCAGTACATCAGTTACCAATGCACTTGCTTCAAAACTAGCAATTGGAGCTGTTTCTTTTCTCTACGTAACAACCATTGCACCTGGTAGTGCTTCCTCATCTACGGCAACTACCCATTTTTCTTAGATTGGAGTTAACAGAACAACAAGGGATAACAAGTCATTGGGGCTTATTTTAGAGAGTGGATTGTACATGCACTTCATACATCAGAGGCCATTACTTCAGCAAATCAGGCCAATTGGGCTACAGGGAGTCACTATTATTACCTATCTTTGTGTATACTCCTATGTCATTTAAAAGTGTGTCAATTCTTTCTTATGTGTTGCTATTATCCTAATATGTTTTAAATTCCACTTGATTGGATCCCTTGACTTCATTAAATTCCACTTTTACCCCTACTTATTTCAAGTGCTTAGGTTTTTGTATAGTGTTTGACCTCTTGCTTTGCTAATATACATGTATCGACAGTACGAGTTTGCAATATTTGGATTTCCTTAATTCCAAAAAATATGCTCAGGTTGTTATTTTCATTGTTTGTACACATGGTTCATTGATCTCTTCATTGCACGTCATTTAGCTAGCAATACAGTGCATGTAGTTGTGTAGTGATCATCTCATCATTTCTAAATTCAGTACCTTAACCATGGAACCTCACTATTTGAAGCACTCACCCAACAAATAGTAGCTATCCAAGCCTAGTTGACTGCTACTCTTGAAGAGAGTAGGGATCTATCTACTAGTTCGAACAATTTTAAACAAATTCTTCATTATATTGACGTTGATAATTCTGAAGTTTCCTGTAATAGACATCATAGTCATCGACAAGGTAATTATAAATAATTTCAATATGATCACAATGATAAGGATCAGGATTGTAAGCGGGAACGAGGTTGTAACCATCATGGTACTCATTCTCGTCCTTGCCACGAAAAACATCTCTCTAGAAACATCAAATTGGATACTTCTACATTCAATGATTGTTTAGATCCTGGAGTTTTTACTCAATGGAATACCCTTACATAGGGAATTGATTAGTGATTGAGTATATTGTTCAATTTGAGGAATTTTGAATGAAAAGCCATGTCATTAAGAATGAGGCCCTTATTTTGAGTAGGTTTAGCCAAGGACTACGAGATGATCTTAGACGTGAACTTTCTTTGAAGTGTCACTACTCTTGATCATACTTATTCTTTAGCTCGAGATTATGAGTTAATTATTGGCACTCCACATGAAAAGTGTGGTTACAACTGTGCATCCGTCTCATTAGCGTCGCCTCCTCAAAAGTCTATTAGAATACCTTCTCTGTCTAATGCTCCTCATGTATTGGGAAATAAGGATAAAATACTTGAAATTTCAAGGAATTCTTCTAAGTTGTAGTTCTTCAACAGTAAGGACTTTAGCAACATCTTCTAAATGTCCTAGTCGAGCTTTAATCATTGAAGAACGAAATAATGTAACATATGAGCCATTAGAAGATCTAGTCTATGAAACTAAACATGATGATTTAGGAAATAATGAGGACACATCCTTAAGTGATATTCGGAC